CTCTGGTATACTGGGATGTTTTGCTGTGCTTGGTGTTACTCTGGTATACTGGGATGTTTTGCTGTGGGTCATGCAGCAGAAATCCCTCCATGCAGGTACCTGGTTGTGTAAGCAGCTCGTTGTTTCATTTGGGGAATTTCAGCACCAAATCCCACCTTCAATTGTCAAGCTCGCCTTTTGTCCGGTTTCTGAAAAGACATGTCTGACATTAGGTTACATACATTTAAGTGCCAAGCTGTGTGTGTTTGTTTGTATTGGATTTAGAGAAACACCCTAAAATGTACAGTAAAAGTCTGTGTTACTTTCTTAGTCCAGCTGTTAGTATCAGCAAGTATACATTCAGGAGTTGCACTTGGTCAGCAAATTAAAGGTATCTGTGCAGCTGGAGCCGCCATATTACTAACGTCTGATATAATTCACCTCTAGTTTTTGTTACACAGCAAATTCCAACCAAAAGCTTCTGGCTCTACGGCAGAAGAAACAAAACATTATTTATCTTATCTTGGAATAATCGAGCTGTTTTATTTTTTTGTCATGTATTTTATCCATGTTTGCTTTTACAGCTGATATATTTCCGGCTTGTTGAGGATTATTTTCTCCAGTTCACTGTGGAGACTTTGGAAATAATCACAGTTTTATTAACATTTAAGCAAAGTGATGGTCTATATTCACCGTTAACCTTCCTGACTCCAGGTGATAACTCTGTATTCTTGTAAATTATGCTTTTGTGTACAAAAAATAACACTTATTTGTTCTTCACAGGGAGAAAAAACAGAAAATTCATGATATTAAAAACAACATTAAAGAAGCTATAGAGGTAAGAGATTGATCTTTTGACCCATTTAAAAACATGACTTATAGCACTTTTCCTTCTGTGTTTCGGAGCAAATTCAGAGATTTTCACATTTTTATGGCTTAATAAGGAAGTGATGAAGCCGAGCGTCCTCAAAGTCACGATGGATTATTATAAATGAACTCAACTGATTTTCTGAATGCTTTTAAAATCTAGAGTAATGAACTTCAGACTATGCTTAACCTTCAAAATGAACACGCAGCATATTGAAATGAAACTCTTTATATTTTATGAATTTTGTTCCCTCCATCCAGACGATTGTGGCTGCCATGACTTCACTCACACCGCCATGCCAGATAGCCTGTCCTGCAAACCGATGCCGTATCGATTATATCCTAAACCAAGTCATCCAGAAGGACTTTGAGTTTCCTTCAGTAAGTTGCACTTTACCTCCGACTCTCTGACTTCTGCAGTAGTTTTTTATTTTTTTCCCTTCTATCATTTCTAAGTCCCATTTCATGCTAATAACCTCTTTCTATCGTCATCTGGAGGTCGATGTTGTATCATCGAGGTAATGCATCTTATTACCAGAGGCAGTATATAGAAACGTTTTGGTTTGGAACCTCCCATGCAGCCGTTATACGTCTCTAAAAGTCTACCGGGTGTGTTCGCGCAGGGATTCAGCAATCAGCAGGTGTGCTTCCCGCCTGGGAGGCTGTCGATTGAATGAGCCTCTCACCTGAGAGATCCGCTCAGCCCATTAACACTAATTGTGTGTAATAACCCTCGATGTGTGTCGAGGGACCTGTCCTCCAGCATCACAGAGGCTCAGAGGGATCCAAAGGGAAGACTTTTCAATATATGTCATATTCTGCATTTGGAAATTGTGATGAATCAACAATGAAAATTGATTTTTATTTCAAATTAAAATATTAATAAATTAACACAACCAGCAGTCCGAATCCTAATAATTTGAATGTAAAATGAGTTTGATTTAAGTTCAAATGTTTCTCAAAAATCTTTTTTCTTATTTATTTATTTAGATAGATGGATACTTTATTCATCCCGCATGGGGAAATTTGTTCGCTACAGCAGCAAAGATATATTTAAGCAATCAAAGTAGCAGAGTAAAAAAATATATAATTAAGTATAAAAATGCACATTATATACAATAACAATAACGAAGCTTTACTGGGAAATGTGTGTAAAATCTATGATATGATGGCACAAAGGAAGTGCGTTTGCAGATTTACCAGTTTCACAAATTAAAACTAGTGACATGTTGCTTTAAGATATCAGTGGAGCAAACATTTAGAGAATAGATGTGAAGAAGAAGAACTCCGTGTTGAAACGGGCCGTTTCCACAGAGGGGATCCGTTTCCAGCAGCAGGGAGGGTATTTGTGTGTAAGCAAAAGGAAGTCTCCTGACATTGTCTCCGTTACTGAGCTGTTCATGTGGGGTTGTGGAGGGTTAGAGCAGCTGTTACAGCTGTTAGTTTAGATGTTGAGTTCAGCACACTGACGGCTGGTTACCTAAACTAAAGCATCGGTTCCCAGAAGCAAAAGGTTTGGCTTCTCCATTCGGCCCGTTGAAGTGAATAGGTGGTTGTTCAGGAAAGAGAATACAGTAGAGAACTATTTAATAGGCCCGAAGAGAGGGAGCGGGCTGAGCCTAAGGGCCTACTGGAAACCAGTTGGACTGGTTGACTCTGCCTTCAAGAAGAGAGGGAGGGAAAACAATCACACTGCCTGGATTCAATCTCCAAAGTCTTGATTTCCTTTTGAGCTTCGTTTCTAATCGGTAATCCTTTTTAGTTATTATTCACAACAACGACAAAAAAAGTTGATAAAGAAATGGTACCGAGGTTATTTGCTTAGACCGGCTGCTGCCGTGCCCACATCTCATTGTTGTTGCTCATTAAGAGCAGTTTTGTGGTGAGAAAAAAATAAATATCTGACAAACAACACTGCAGCTTTTAAACGGACCTCGTCTCATTTATCCACCTCAGTCGTCACATCTATTATTCGTCAGTGACATGTCGGCCACCGCAAAACCTGCCCACTCTCAGTCCCATCAAGTATTTTTTTAGGGCTGTACGCAGTGTGACTCCGGGGCTCATAATGGCGTATCTGTGCTGTATGTGACCCGCTGTAGATGGTAGTGAGGAGATAGGCCCCTGTGTAGTGACAGCCGAGCCTTGTCTCCGTACAAAGCTCTCCGTTTCTTCATGAACTCGCTGAACTGTTCTGTTTCCTGCCTCCGGGCTGGAGCCCCACTCGTCTGCTGCTCCTCTCCTCTCCGGCCGTTAACTACAAACTAAGCCAGCGAGCACCACCGCCTCCCTCCATCTGTCCGTAAATGTTGTCACCCATCAAGGCTTTGACGGGAAATGATACCAACTCGCTCCTACATTACCATCCACCAATGTGTGAAGTCGGTCATTTGTTGTTTTAACACAATTTCTCTCCTCTTTAAGGTTCCAACTAACAATCCTTTTCCTCATCAAATGATCTGCTCATTGTTTTCGTGATGAATCTTTTTCTCTATAAAATATCAGAAAACAGTGACGGATGCCTGTTTTAATTTTAACAGTACAAAAGACATAAATATTCAAATTGCTGTCATGTAAGACAAATAAAAGCACCAATTCTTGACATTTAAGCAGGAAATGTTTGGCCTTTTTGCTTTAAAAAAAAATACAATTATTCATTTATCAAAGTAGTTGCTGATTCATTTTCGGTCAATCGACGATTAAACCCACAGGAAGAGTTTGCGTCTTCTCCCTCGGGGCTGTCGGCGAGCAGCTTAGTTCATTCGCAAACATTGTCGAAATAAACAACCTGCATTTTTTTTTTCCAACAATTCACCCGACATCGAGCCAAGTGTTTCATTAGTTTCTGTTGATCCAGACCCCTCTTTTCTTTTTCTCCAGGAGTTTTATGACCATGCAAAGATCCTCTGGCAGGACGAGGGTGTGCGGACCTGCTGGGAAAGGTCCAACGAATATCAACTCATCGACTGCGCACAGTAGTAAGCCCCCTTTCCTTTACCTTCCATCTTCATACATACACTTGCATTCAAACATACATATACATCTAAATGGAGGCCGACGGTAAGACTTCCATGAAATACACCAGGTCTACATTTCATGGGGGCGACCGTGGCTCACTGGGTTAAGAGGGTTGTCTGGGAACCGGAAGGTCAATGGTTTGATCCTCAATTGGGACGTGTCACGTGTCGTAGTGTTCCTGAGCAATACACTGAACCCCGGGCGCCTGTCATTGGCAGCCCACTGCTCCCTATATACAGGGATGGGTCAAATGTCGTGTATATGTATATGACAATAAAAAAGGTTTCTATTCTAAATGTCCAATACTTTGGCTTGTCAGCTGCAGTTTGTGTTAATTAGAAAATGTTAGCTTGCTAACATGCTAAGCTAAGATGCTTAACATGGTAACATGGACAGCAATCTAAACATCACCACGACATTGTGTACATCATGCCTACAATGTAGGACACAGTAGCTAAAAGCACCAAGAACAGCAACTCGGAGACTGCAGACTCTATAGTGTGTTGGACTTAAGTGAAGGCATTCAAACTCCTCCTAAAGTGAAAGAACATAAAAATATTGAAAGTAAAAAATGATGTATAAAAAAAGTCCTCTGTGAGACATATACAATACTGATGTATCAATTTGGAAGTAACCTGTCATAGCTGGACGAGCTCATTTTAACTACTCTATGTAAAGGTTTAGTCCACTTAGTCCAACCTAGGGGCCCGGACCCTCCGAAGCGTCACAAGATCAATCTGGGTGGTCGTGAGATGATTAATGAGGGTGGATAGAATAGAATTTGAATACTTCTCTCAAAAATATAGCGGAGTTCTCGTAAAAAGTAGAAGAAAAAAAGAAGCGCTCAGGTAAAGAACGAGTACCTGCATGTCTGCCTGTGTCCTCGTCACTGAAGACGCATGCATGACATGTGTTTTGTCGCTTTTGTCGCTTACTGTATGTTTTTGTCCCTGGAGGCTCTCAGCAAAATAATCCCGACAAAACCCTCCTACCTTCCTTTGAAATGTGATGTGTGGACAGAGAGCGGTGCAAGCTAACGCAGAGATAGAACCATTTGAAAAGAAAAACAATTCTAGAGACCGATTGAAATAGAAAGAGGGCTTCCCTGCTTTGCAGGATCTCTCCTCTCCTCTCCTCTTCCTCTCCTCTCCCCCACACCCAGCAGCCCCAGTGTTATGGATCAGATGCTGGGCTGGGTGGCCAGACCGGAAGTGCTCCCCTCCCCCCTCTGTGTGCTTATGTAAACGGAGAAGCAGAGAAAGAGAGAGGGGAGAGCTATTTTTAACCTGGGCAGGCTGCAGAAGGAGAAAGAATGAGCGAGTGTTTGGAGAGACAACTTCAGCATTATTGATGAAGGTTGTTAGCATGAAATGGAAATGTCAACCTTGGATCAGTGCGGGAAAAAGTCAGGACCACAACAACAACAACACAACACAAATGATATCATCTGATTCATGTCCTGATAAAAATAGAAAAAGGGAAGAAGAAGTTGACGCGGCAGTGATGCTTAGGTGCCTCTGAAGTCACTGAAGCTTCCCAGACTGAGTTTCTGCTCTGTCACGCTCCTATATGATGTGTTTTTGATGTTTTTTTTAACACTTTGTGTGGTCACACACTTTGTTAGCAAGGATGTTGTCAGCCTTGCTAACATGTGGACGTTCAACTGTACTCAATTCACATATAAAGTCCAAACAATGTGACTGTGTCCCCTAACAGGACGGAGGTTTCTGTTGCTTCATCCATACTGAGATCATAGCTGTACAGTCATGAGACATGCTCTTGACAACGCAGCAACAAGTATTTGTTTAATGTGTATACGTATGATATTCAAGGTGCCAGAGCATTTCCTCATTTGCTTGTATGAAGAAGACCTTGTTGTCATGAGTCGGTAGCTTCATTAGCATGTTTAGTGGCCTTGTAGTAGATGTGGGTTGTTGTGCTAACTGGTCAGCCTTACTTGCTTGGATATATTAAGACTTAGTGTGGCTATATTCAATCGTTTTTTAACAAATTTATATTGTCTTAAAGTATACAGTACCGTTAAACTCTATTGCCCAACCCTACTGTTGATCAATCATAAAGACTTTTATGAAGCAGAATTTGCTGCTTTTCTCTAGTTTTGTTTGGACCCAAAACCCCAAATGCATACAAGTAAATGCAACAGAACTATTTATCAATTTATATTGTTTCGTTGTGCGAGTAGCTGAGTGTTGGAGATATCGGCCATCGAGATGTCTGTCTTCTCTCGAATAAAATGGAACTAGATGGCACTCAAAAATACATTTGGATAAAAACTCAACGGCGATGTCTCTTCTCAGAAATCATGACCTAGTTACTTCAGATAATCCACAGACCTGGTTGCGTTTCACAGGAACGATTGTCTGTCTACCGAACTACAATCGCAGAAGGAAGTGTGCACCTCCTCATGGACGAGAGACTCGTAGTGTAAACCATCTCGATTGATGAATAGCTCTACGGGCATGGGCGTCCAGTGATAGTGCCTAATTAGTGACAGATATGGAAGGGAATTTGTCACTTAATTAACGCATGTAAGTGCTATTTCTCGCATTATAGAGCCTTCACGTGACCGGTAAAGCTGCTCCATCACTATAAAGATCCGTGTATGTTGCAGCATATATTACAGTGTTTCCCACAGGGTTTTGTGAGACTGTGGTGGACGGACCTCGGACGGTCTGGGGTGGTCGGGGTCCTGCTGCCCCGTGAGAGAATTATGTACATATTAAAGTTAAATGTATCAATCTGGTGCACCTATAGAGATAAATGAAGAGGCTAGATCTAAGAAGAATGTTGCGCTCTAGTAAACAATTTGACACGGCAAAAAAGTCGCGCCCACAATGCATGGTGAACGAGACGGGGCCCGCGTTTCCATCGCTTTCCTAACTTTATAAAGTTACGTAGTTGGTTCAAACCAACCTTATCACAATGAGTAGATATATATATGAAGGAAGGTAGAACTGTCCCTCACCAGGTGAGATCAGAGGATGGTGTGTCTTGTGAAACAGGAGAGGAGGAACGTGACGGACCGTGCCGTACATTCAATGTGTCACCTGGCTGTGATACCAGCCGCTGAAATCTTCTCCCGCCGATAATATACCGTCATGTGTCGGAGTCCCCCCCATTTACTTCTCCGGCATTCTCCCCTTTCTCTCTCTCTCTCTCTCTCTCTCTCTCTCTCTCTCTCTCTCTCTCTCTCTCTCTCTCTGTGATGTGTTGTTTCTGCAGGGACAGAGAAAGGCTTGGATTTAGTCTGTGACTCATCGCGAGGATGTAGGGGGGGGCGGTATAGAGATGGGCCAAGAAAACCTGA